GGACAACAGAGCTGCTTCATGGAAGAAGAACCTCAACTTAGCCTGTTAGCGTTAGCTTCGCGCTATATTGCCTTATATGTATTAGCTCAGCGCTAGCGCGACAAACAAGCTAAACTGAAGTCCTCCATCCATATTTTCAGTTACAGCTGAGTCATTTTTGTGTTCCCATCTCTGTCAGGTGGATGGAGGACCTCAGTGACGAGAGGAGAACGTGTAGCGCTGAGCTAAAACATATATATGGTGATAGCGTTTGGAGATGGTGGATTTCAGACACAACCCATCCTCCCTACCGTCAAAGGCTCTGCAGGTTTTACTGAGGAGTCACTCAGGCTCCTGGGCACCACCGTAACCAAAGGCCTGAAGTGGGACAGGGATGGAGTCTCCACCTCCAAGAAAGCACAGAAAAGAATGTTCTTCTGGAGACAGCTGAAGAAACTCAACCCTGATGATCCAGTTCTACACAGTGATCATCAAATCCATCCTCACCATATGACCACAGGTCTGATCTGAGCCTTCTTCAGCAGGGTGACCTTCAGTCCTCTTCAGCACAGGAACTGTTTTCTTTAATAAAATTACAATTTATTTACTTTAAAGTTAGACCGTTAATTAATTTGTAAGGAAAATCAGCAGCAGATGGAATTATTTAAAGCAATCTTTCCACAGAGCCAAACGTTTGGACACACCTTCTCCTATCATGTTTTTCTTCTCATTCCTACATTTTAACCTAAAACTGAAGACTGTGAGGGAACACAGGCCAACATCGTAAATAAGAAACTGTTCTTAAACTTTTGCCTGTTGAAATAAAGGTTAAATAAAATAAAATAAACATAAAGAACCTTAAAGTAAACTTAAAGTGTTAAACAAACCAAGCAGAGATTCTTAACCTATGGGTCGCGGCCCAATTGTGGGCCGTTAGCTCCACCTTGAGGGCCTCAAAAGAAAAACAGTTTTTAACTTTGGGCCGCAGAGGGCCGTGGGACCACGGCTAGCTGGCCCACGTAGGCCACATCCTTGCTGGGCCAGGTAGGATGCTCAAAACTAGGGCTGTGTATTGGCAAGAATTTGGCGATATGATAAATATCATGACAGCAGGGTCACGATACGATATATCCCGATATATTTCAATACTGTAAACAAGGTGATATATTGAGATATTTTTGGTCCAAAAATTCTATTAAATAAAAACCTCTTACAGGAGAAAAACAAAACAAAACAAAACTAAAAACCAAAATTCATTGTCTCATAAAATTCTAATATTACATCGACACTTTTGATACATTTAGCTGTGTTCTGCTTTGTATGTATTTTATTTTATTTGTTTCATAT